ATATATATATATATGTATATATATATATATATATATATGTAATATATATATGTATATATATATATATTAGTATATATCATATATACTGTATGTATATATTAGTACATCATATCAAAGAGTCATAAAGGTTCCGGGTTTATTTTGTATTGTCTCAAAAGGAGAAAGTATCTTGGATTTAAAGAATTACTGCACAAAAAGTACAAAGGCCTTGAGGGCTGAAGCTGTCCCTTGTTCATATATGTTTATATTTGTATTCTGTTGTTTAGTTGTAATCTTCAATGAAACTCTGGCACAAGAATTTCCAATTCCACCATTTGGCCAGCAGAGGTCACTGTTGTGAACGCCAAATGCTTCCAAACAATCAACAACAATAAACTATTACAACAACAATCACATCACTGTGGCTCCAGACAGTGCTATTAAAAACAAGCCTCGTTTCGCCATCACACATTGTGCTATCTACTTCCTGTTTGAAGGCTGCTAATACAACCAGTAGAAGTGTACCAAGCCATTTACGAATTGCGTTTTCCCCTGTAAACAAGTTTGTCCTCTCACGCTTTCCGTTGCTCCTCAGTGATTGGTCGATTGGAAAAAAAATGGCGCTGTCCGCGTAATTGTAAAAAACATCATGAAGAAAACGTAAATCAAGTGTTTTACCGGGCGGATTAGAGTGTGTTTGACGTTTTCAGATAAAACAACGGTATGTTACAGTTATAATGTCTTCATCTTTAACATCCAACGCGGTTAAATAAGACACGAAGAGTTCTCTACAGTAGCTTTGTGTGAGCTTAGCCAACAAGCCTGCTAGCATCACAGCTAACGTTGGAACAGAAGATCTGTCAACTGTTAAAGGTGAGGGGGCTGATAATTATTATTATCCTCTTATTGTGACACCTTTAGGGTTTAATGTTGTCATTGATGTTCAGTGTGTGTTTCTCTGGTTTCCTCCAGCTTACTGATGTTATGCTGACTTTAGACATTGTTATCTCCACAGTGGCTGAACGGATTTTACTTTATAATATTTAACTCTCTAAGGCTCACGTGTCATTCACTAAACAGAATAGAGAAGTAGTCAGAAGTGGCTAAATGACTTGAATTAGTTTAACAGTTGTAGTTAAAAACAAGCTGCAATGTATCAATACATCATAAAATCAAACAAAACGGTAATACACTACCAGCAACTTATTGCATATTGCTGTTTTATTTGTTTGGCTACTTGGAGACGGGAAGTTTTTAATCAACAAACATTTTTTATTCTTTACATAACTGAAGACAAATGTACAGTGTGTTTATGTCTTATATTAAGGGAATACAGAGCTGGGTAACATAGCACCATGTGTACAAAGGAACATAGGAAACCCACCTGCTGCACACTTCTTCTTTCTTTACATTTAAACTGCGTTCCAGTTGCACTTCTCCTACATTAACGTGCATTGTCCAAAACCCCTAAATAGTCAATTAAAAAAAACAAAGAAAACCAACGACAAATTGCTCAAACTATTAATAAATCATAAAAATAGTTTTGGTTTCAATTTTCTGTTGATTTAAAAATAAAATCGCAGGTCATCCAGTTCTACTACTGTTTCTAAATGAATCCACAAGACATGTAACCAAATCCTGAACGCACGATCCTATCTCCTCTGTTTAGCTTCTGTTCACTGGCTGCCTGTCCATTTAGATCTGGACTTTGAAGGCCCTGCTTGTTATGGCACTGAGCTTCCTGACTGAGCTTCTAACTCCTCAGCTACCAACCTGAAGCCTGAGGTCCTCTGATAACCCTGCTAGCTATTTCTTGGTCGTGGCTGAAGACCAAGTGTGACGGGCTGTTTGCTGTTAGAGCTCCAACTCTTTGGAATTATATATATTATAATTACATCAAGAACTCACTGACCTTTTTTAAATCATCTCTCAAGACTCACCGTTTTGGCTTTTTCTTTATTATTTTATCAGTTTTTTTTATTTTCCCTTGTTCTGGATGTGATTTATTTTTTATTTATTGACTGTGAGCTGGTTATTAATTGTTCCTGCTTTCTTTTATTTTTCCTTGTTTGTGAAGCACTTTGTAGCTGTAGTTTTGAAACATGCTATATACATAAAGTTGTTATTATTATGAAGACACAAACACAACTACACGTAACAACAAAGAGTCAGCTGTGTGGTCTTCCTCAAGCACTAATAACAGGATTTCATCTTCACATCAGAGCATTACTTACATTTTGTTTTGTTAAGCCGTCCAAATGAACGTCTGTTATTTATGTTTTTTTATTACTCTTCTCGTTTCCCAGCTCTCAACATGCCGGCCTTCCGGCAAGTTGGAGAGAAGCAGCTTCCCAACCCGGTGCTGTGTATGGCTTGGTCTCCTAAAAGGGATCTCATCGCTCTGGCCAACACAACAGGAGAGGTGCGCTTAAAAAGCTTTTTTTAAATCCTGAAACTTGTCTTATTATCTTTTATGGTGTTTTAATTTATGGTTCATGTTTTGTCTGTAGTTGCTGCTACATCGCTTGGCTAGTTTCCAGCGTGTTTGGAGCTTACCGCCCAGTGAGTATACTGGGAAGGAGATCACGGCACTGGCCTGGAGACCTGATGGCAAGAGTAAGGAATGACTGTGTACTTTTTTAAGCAGAATCACTGAGATCGTTTGTTGTTGACGGGAACATGAAGATGTTCAACTTTTATTCTCTCCTTCATCTCCAGTTCTGGCCTTCAGCCTCGGAGACACGAAGCAGGTGGTGCTGTGTGGTGTTGAGAAAGCCGAGATCCTCCACGTGTTTCCAATGCAAAGCTCAGTGACCTGCATGCACTGGATGGAGGTGACAGAGGAGAGCAGGTGTGCACGAGGCTCGGGATCAAACCAGTGGCACAACAGACATCTGGTTCTCTAGAATAACGTGAACGTTTGGTGTTTTTGCTGTTTCAGTGCCCTCAGCTCCTTCTACAACTCAGAGGATGAATCCAAACTCTTTCTTCCCAAGTTGCCAACACTCCCCAAGAGGTAACGCTGACACGACCTGCACATCCGATCATAAGAAAGTAATGCTTTGTTGACTGAGTAACATCTGTCCAAACATCTGTTTTTCCTCAGCTACAGCACAACTTCAAAGATCTTCAGGTGGGTTTGTTTTTTAATGCATAACTTGTTAGTAATAATTAGTCTGATATCAGCTGTCTACTGCTAACAGCAGCCTTGTGTGTTTATCTGTGTGTGTTACAGTGAAGAAAAGTCTGATGAGATTTTAAATCTCATGGGAGAAGTCAGGTACATTTAAGGCCAACACACAGATTCTCTTTAATTCAGCTGTCTTTTTAAATTTGCACTGTAAAATGTTTCTCCACCACATTCTGTTTCCCTGCAGACTGAACGTACTTGTTCTTGGAGGAGACTCTGGCTTTGTGGAGCTTTATGCTTACGGGATGTACAAGATCGCTACTCTATCAGGGGTAAGGATCTCTTCTTCTCTGTAAAAAAATTGAATAAATTGTGCAGAATTGTGTCATGATGGGAGCGACTGTGGCTAAGTGGAGAGCAGGGCTGTCCATCAATCAGAGGATCGGCGGTTTAGTCCCCGGCTCGGCGCATGTCGGTGTGTCCTTGAGCAAGACACTTAACCCCAAAATTGCTCCCGTAACTGTGCCTACGGTGTATGAATGTAATAGAATCTGAATTGTAAGTCGCTTTGGATAAAAGTGTCTGCTAAATGACTGTAATGGAATGTGCCAGAAATCTAACTTAACATGGATTGCAGATTGTAGAAACAAACATCTTGCAATAAAGTTCTCCACGGTGGAGTTGAATCATCACTTCTCTGACACAGTAACTTGTGTCGTCAACAAAACTGTCCCAGAAAAGTTCTGGAAAGTTATTGAGAGACAGAGTTATTATCAGCTGCATGTTTAGGGGTTATTACAGGAACATTTTATAATAAAAAAACAAACAAACATTGGTTTCATACCACCATGAAGAGCTTATGTATTTCAATTAGTGTGGTGAAGTTATGGAATAGTTTAGATGAAGAAATTAAACAAAGTACAAATATAAATCAATCAAAGAAAATTTATAGAAAATATGATTGTGAGAGGTACAAAGATGATGTGAGATCAAGATGATTATTATACTTCTGTTCAGAAATATAATATTTATTAATTGATATAGTTAATTTAGAATTTACATTTTATTGTATTGGTCTTCTTTTGTTTTCTTATTATTCGTTACATTAATCAAATCAAATTTTTTTAGATAAGAATTCTGACATAAACAAAACAATTTGTCTCAGTGGCACAAAAATGATGACGTTTGAAAGATCTTGAATATTAAACCTCCACAAATCAATCTGAAGACACCAACGATCCATTCAGTGCTTCTAACTCTTTTTATTATGTAACGACTCTCCACAGGTGTCGGGAACCTGTCGCAGCCTGAGTCTGTCCAGCGATCTCAAGTCTTTGTCCGTCATCACAGAATTCCGCTCAGCTGATAACAACTCACAGATCTGCTACATCCAGGTGAGGCGGAGGATTTGACTCTCTTTCTCTTCATGTCCTCGTCATCTCTGCTCTAACGTGCATTTCTATGTGCTTTTTGTGTTTTTGCCTTGCAGCTGGACACGAGGTTGTTGTCAGACTGTCTGCCCGAGGTAACCAGGATGGCACGCAAGTTCACCCACATCTCTACACTGCTGCAGTACCTGCACCTCTCACTCACATGCATGTGTGAAGCCTGGGAGGACATCCTCATGCAGATGGATCTCCGACTCACTAAGTTTGTTCAGGTCAGTGGTTGTGACAGAAACCAGGCAGTCAGGGTGGAGACCACATCCTCCATCGATACCGTCAACAACTGGAGGCCCCCAGGGCTGTGTTCTGGGTCCCTTTGTATTAGTGTTGCACGGTACACCGATCGCTATACCTCATTAGAAACGGTGCCATATCACATTTTATTAGTAACAATTCTTTAAGAATGACAGTGTTTTAATAAGAGACGTATTTATGAGTTGCGTCGATGTGCGACAGCGGGGCGTCGTATCAAATACAATTGCTCTTGTCGATTAGGGGTGGCTGTGGATCAGAGGTAGAGCAGTTCTTATTCCAACAGAAAGATTGCCGATTCGATCCTCGGTTCCACATGTCGTAGTGTCTAAACTCCAAATTGCCCCGCCCTAAAGCATCCCCTGCTTTATGGTCTGTTTGACTCTAAA